GTAAGCGTAACCGCGTTTACCTGCTGGTCATCAAAGCGAATTCTCGAAAACTGCCCTTCTCCTCCAAGACCAGGAACCAAATAATAGCACTTGGAGAATGTGGGCATCGATCCCACCACCTCTCGCATGCTAAGCGAGCGCTCTACCACCTGAGCTAATTCCCCAATGCTAGGGCGTCCTCCCTGCACTACTGGAAGGCCGAGAACAGAACGTTTCCTAGGACAGCGTGAAAGGAGGCTCCGGGAGGGCCGGTCTGTCTCATTGGTGGCCCAGGACAAGAGCGCAGGGAAAAGTGACCAGAAGTCGCTGCGGGAACAGCGTGAACAGCCCCGGGGTCACGTCGTAGATATTCCAGGACCGAGGAAAGCACCCGCCCCGACGGCTAACGGGCACAATTACCCCGATGTCGGGTTAAGTGGGTCTTTTAACGGAGGGAGGAGATCAGCACCCGCCCCTGGTGCCCGGGGCGCCCAGAGGAGGCCGGAGGGGTGGCGCTGGTTTTCTGCGTTCTGGAAGACAGACTCTTTCTGCCTAGATTTGGACCGAGGAGTTTTACCGGCTCCGATAAGCGCAATGGCGCTCACACCGCCGACGCCCCTGGTCGTCGCGATTGCTGGCGTCCGCGATTCGCGCTCCAGGCTCGCGCGGGGTCGTGCGGAGGCCACCTGCTAACCGCCCCAGCTGGGAGAAGGCCAGAGCAGAACACGAACTACGTACAAGTAAATACAGGTAAGAGGCACGGAGAATAATGGAGACGAAATGGACTTACAGAAAATAACCCAGTAGGGGTTTATGTCGGATTCTTTTTTCATCGCTTTTAATGAAGTAACATTTTAGAAAACTGTTTTTAGTTCAGGGGCAAAGAGCAGACAAGAAACTGGACTTGGAGAGAGCCGAAGGACTGAAGCGCGAGCGAGCTGCGGAGGTCGGCCGCGGCAACCTGCGTCCCCCGGCCCCGTCTGGGTGCTGATGGGCGCAGAGGACGCCCTCCGCCCACGTCGGAGGCGGCGGTGTGGGAGGGTCTAAGCGTTGGTCCCGAGGTCGAGGGTAGAGACTTGAGAGGACCGGACACAGTGCTGGGAAGTCGGGGCCTGGCGCGGCCGACACACTTTCTGATGCGAGGCCTGTTGAGTGGAGCTCAGGGACCTGCAGCCGTCACAGGACGCGGGGCTCATCGACGTGCAGTCAGGACGGCAGGCTCACGCGTGTGCAGCTGTTACAGGACGGCGGGGCTCACGGACGTGCAGCCCTTT